GCCGACGATGATAGAGTAATTTCGACCCATCCGTCTGTGCAATGTAACTTACAAGATGATCACCAAGTGCTTGGCAGAGAGATTGAAGGCGTTGATGCCACGTCTAGTTCACGAGACGCATACTAGCTTTGTCCCAGGGCGCCACATTACTGATAATATTTGTAATTTGCAGGAAGTGGTTCATTCAATGTGTGCTAAGAGAGGCAGAGAGGGTTGGATGGTCCTGAAGATTGATCTCGCCAAGGCGTATGATCGAATTAAATGGTATTTTGTTCAGGAGACTTTGGAGGCAGCAGGAGTGCCTCGGAGATTTACGGAAGTTACTATGAGCTGTATTACTTCTTCTACCATGCAGATCCATTGGAATGGAGGCCTTACCGAAGACTTTATACCTTTCAGCCTCCAGGGGTCTCCGGCAGGGTTGTCCGCTATCTCCGTACATTGTTACTCTCTGCATGGAGCGATTGGGGCACTTAATCACTGCAGCGCTGGACAAGGGAGAGTGGCAGACGATCCGACTATCTAATGGGGTCCCCAGGTTATTGCACCTGTTTTTCGCGGATGATCTGATTCTCTTTGGTGTAGCTTCTTTGGCGCAGGTGCAGACCATAATGACATGTTTAGGTGAATTCGGGGAAGCCTCAGGTCAGCAGGTGAATCGGGCAAACTCGCGGGTCTACCTCTCAAAAAATGTAACAGCAGGCGAGGCCCTCAACCTCAGTAATGCCCTAGGTATCCCTGCTACAACTAATCTGGGACGCTACCTGGGAGTGCCGGTTATCCATGATCACGTCTCTAAGACGACTTACACTGAGTTGATTGACTGCATTGATACTAGATTAGCGGGGTGGAAGGTTAAATCGTTATCTTTGGCGGGAAGGATCACATTGGCTCAATCAGTACTATCATCCCTTCCAGCTTATACCATGCAGACATCGTGGCTTCCTGCCTCTGTCCGGGACTACATTGACAAAAAAAAAAAAGAGGATTTATCTGGGGCAGCACGGATCAGGGGAGAAAAATTCACCTACTTGACTTGGACACATTGTGTACGCCAAAAGAGGAGGGTGGATTAGGTTTGCATAGTGCAACACGTATGAATGAGGCATTTATGATCAAAATAGCATGGCGACTGCTTACTAAACAGGATAGTCTTTGGGCGTAAGTTATCAGGGGGGAAGTATTTGCGGAGAACAGAGCAGGGGTGGCGAGTAAGAAAAGATGGCCGATTATCTAATCTTTGGAAAGGGGTTGCTCGAGTATTGTACTTTATCCCGGAAGGGACTATGTGGATTGTGAACAGCGGGTTGCAGGCACGCTTTTGGACGGATCAGTGGTTTCAAGATGGCCCCCCACTGATTTCCTATGCCAATGATCTACCCTAGGCAGTGCGTGAGATTACAGTGGCGGAATTTATGCTCAATGGCGAATGGAATCTGGCGTTCATCAGTGCATATCTCCCCGAAGTGGTAGTTGCCCAGCTTGGCTTGCATCCAGTACCGATCGGGGATGAGCCGGACGTTCTCGTTTGAGATATTCGAACACCAAACGGTTCACTTTGAAGACTGCTTACGAGTTGACGAGGGGGGGAGATGAAACTGGGCAACAACACCCAATTTGGAAGAAGGCTTGGAATGTTCAGTGACCTCAACGTACGAAGACTTTCCTATGGTTGGCTTTGCATGGCCGACTACTTACTAATGCAGAACGGGTTTGGCGTCATTTGGCGCAGGTGGACGACTGCCCGGTGAGCGGAGGGGGACCCGAGACGGTGCTTCATGTAATACGGGATTTCCCTTATGCCAGGGGAGTGTGGTCCTATGATCTAGAGGACGAGCCAGATTTCGCTTTTCTAGAGACGGATATTATGAGTTGATGCTTGCATTATTTAAGCGGTCGAAGTAAGATTGTGGATCCCATGTTGTTTGCTATCCTCTGTTGGAAGATCTGGAAGAACAGGAATGCGTGGGTTTTTTAGAAGACAATCTCATCGTTGGATGGTCTAGCGAGAGGAGCTCAACACCTACGGGATTCTTCGAGACTACCGTTCAGAAAAGCTCAGAGCATTGTGGACGAGGGCAGACAATGAGCTACCCGGATGACTGGATGGCAACATCCCCTGGACGGATGGGTTGTGGTAAATACTAACGGATCGGTAGTCCCAGAACTTGGGCGATCGACGGCAGGCGGAGTACTATGAGGAAGTAATGGGCGGTTCATGTCAGCATTTTCCATCAATCTGGGAGGAGGTTCGATAACACATGCTGAACTTGCAGGGATCGCTCAGGGACTGAAGGTTGCATGGAAAGCGAGAGCTCGCAAAGTCAAGCTACAAACTGATTCAATAGCAGCTATCTCCCTTTTGCAGTCGAACATCAGAACTCATCCGCACTATACAATGACATCCGCAATCCGTAGGCTCTTGGAGAGGGATTGGGAGGTTAGTGTTGATAATGTGTTTAGGGAGAGTAATTATGTTGATGATTACCTGGCCTCTGTTGATTATTCGCTACCTGTGGGAGTGCACATCTTTGACACCCTTAGCTCACATTTGCGTTATTAGTTGATGTACGATCTTATTGGGTTTCAAATTTCTCGGTCTATTAATTCATAAGGGTTAGAGCGCCCTCGGCGCTCTGTTTTCTACCCAAAAAAATATAGTAATTTTTGTGACGGATATAATGAAATACGCTGGCGTGACATTTTTTATATTAACTTGCCAACTTGTGATTTACAATAGGGTCGGACAATCGATTACCGGTTAGCGGTTAACCGACCGGTCACAAACGAAATCGGCCAGTTATTCGCTAACCAAAAACCGAGATAACAGAAAATTGATCGGTGTTAGGAGGGATAGCCGAGATGATTTTGGTCTTGGGGGCAGCTCGGTTAACCGAAACCAAGATAACCGAAGCCTTAATGCCTCTTCCGGTCGGTGGTCGGTAGAAGTGGGGTGGTTCAGTTTAACCAATAACCGACCGGTTTTTTGTTACAACCGAACCGACCGAACTTCACTCCTAATTTACAACATTTTATTCTAATCTGTATATCAATCAATCTTATAAATGGAGGTTGATTTTAAAATCGCAACTCAAATATTATTTGGTCGAATATTGCACATTGAATTGGAGTATTAAATATCTAAAAGAGATGTAGAATTCTTAAATCAGAATTAATTTCAAGAACTACTAAGAAGCAATGATATCTTTGGGCATTGCACACCATAAGGGTTGTGGTTATCATTTCTCATAAATCGTCATGCCACACTATTCCTTCAATTATTTCCTTTTTTTTTTGTCTTAGTCTCAAACTTGTTACTAAAAGAGGTATAGAAAAATAACTAAACACGTTTCTGTTACTAATTGTCAATTTCTATGATTTTTATGAAATTATCATATAAACAAAAAAAATATATAATGATAAAATAGTTTTATTAATCAAGGAAAAAACGAAGGACAACTCCCTGCTAGAATTATGAAGTTTCCGGTTACTATTGTATCAACAGAGCATCATGATGGACGTGACCTCTATATCTCCTCCATCGTTTTCCAATGTTACAAACATTATATACATAGGGAATAAATTTGTTTTTGAATCAGGTGATGCCTAGTTGGTCCTAAGGTCGGCATTGGTTTGGTTCGCCCCAAACCAAACAAGAGCATACTGTTATGCTAAGTAGTCCAAATAATGCAACTGATTTCGAACCAAATTATATTTTGGTTCGGTCTGGCTAAATCGCGATAGAATTTGATTTGGATCAGAAAATCCATCAAAACCAATCTGTCTCTCCAATCTATATATCACTGCCACTGAATAATTACTAAACCCTTCTTCCCAGCCGCTCACTCTAGTCTTCGTTGTTATTCTCCTCTTTTCTCTCCGCCGTTGTTTCCCTTTCCTCAGAATCTCCACACATTCTTTACATAATACATAAAATAAACCTACATACATAACGAATGCAAATGCTCATGTAATAGTACTCGTGCATTAAAATATTTAATTGACTTGTACATTGTTTCTTAAAAGGATATTCTTATTACCTTTTATGAAAGGGGGCCCGAGCTCAACTTATCACATTACCATGAATACCAACATACTTAAACATGATCTTATTACCCTGGAGAGAGTTCATAACCTCCTTAAAACATGTTCTTACTTAGTTACTTACTTATAAACTTGATCAACTAAGCAAACTTGCTTAAATAGATGGTCCACACGACGGGAAGATATAAACTAGCATACTTAAAGAGTAATATGTTTGGTCTTCTTTTAAAACATAACTTTGTAAATGCAATGTGCCTTGTTGTGCTTAAGAAGTGAACATAATTCATAAACTTGAATATGAATATCTTAAATGCATAACACAAGCATATAAAAACATATCAATTAATTCAAATAACTTGCATAATTAATAACTCATGAAATACTATCTAATCCCATTAACCACGCACCTTACATGCTCAAGTCATCCAACTTGAATGAACTAAAGTCATACTTCCTCGCATTGTATGGTCTCCATCTGTTCATCAGGATGCAATATCGATAAACTTAACCTTTAAATCTTTTTCTCCTTGTATTAATTCCCTCGTTACTTTGCTTAACAACTTTCGCCACTCCCATAAGGTCGTCAAAAGCACATTCCATAGCTAGTAACTATGTTAGCAACCTACTTAACAAGTTTAAGCCATTTAACCAAACTCTAATTACTTTCGTGGCAATTAAGAATAGTATTGGCCAGCCATAATCAGGATAGTCCGATCTTATACCAAAACAAAGAAGGAAAGCCGATCTTTGAATTCAAAACCTACTCCCGTTATTGTCCTGCAATTGAAGCATTCCCCGCTCTTCTCCAACCCTAAAATTCATTTCTCTTCTTGCATCCGTCCGACTGTTTCCTCAAGCGGGTCTTCCTTCAATCCGGTCGTGAAGACGACCGGCAATTGCAGTTTGGATCGAGATGTGCTACTAAGTTCACTCCCTTTTTCTTTCGCCGCCAGAAAATGGCGTTCGATCTATGCAGAGGGTACCTTCCTCCTCCTCCTCCCCTGAATCTGCTCAGCAAATTGGGAGACGATCCCCTCGTCGTGATTCTGATACGCCTCCCAAACCCTAGATCATCTTGCCTCTCCAAAACCGTCTGCAAGTCGTGGAGAACCCTCATCTCCGATCCCAGCTTCGATCGCCGCTTTATTTCCCATCACCAAACCAGGTACCAACCAGCATCTATGTTCCTTACCGCACGCGAACCCAATTCGATCATCCTCAGCTTTATCCCCGTGCCTGACAAAGCTCGACGGGGATTTAGAGTCATGGATTGTTTCAAAGACTTGCTTTTATGAGGATTTCTCGAGCATGATAGAACCAAATTGCGGAGAACCTGCGTGGTCTACAATCTGTTTACAAAGTAGTGGATTACCCTTCCATTGGCGCCTGAAAGTTCAAATTCGGGGTATGGTGAATCTTTCGCAGCATTAGTCTGTATGTCATGTAGTAATTGTAGTCTTATGCAGCAGCTAGGCGAAGAATCAGAACTTGCAGCAATTTATTTCGAGTATGTTTTCCTCGTGGCGCGTAATCTTCATATTTGAGGCTCTACAGTACTGCATGTGTTTTCTTCCGAGTCTAGGAAATGGTCGCAGAGAAAGTTTGATGATAGCATGACAAGGACAATGACCAATATAGTCTCGTGGAGCGGGGAGTTGTTTGGTTGACTTTTGAATTCAGTTCATTCCGCGAAATCCTGTTTGTGTGTAACCCTTTCCGCCTTGATAGATCTCTCAAGCATATGATTGTATCTCATGCATTGTGGTATGCAATGGGGCAGGGAGGTGCCACTCTCGCGGTCTCGCAAGGTGCTCTGCACATAGTTGTATTCGAAGTTGAAGGTCTACGTCGCGGTTCGAGAAATGCCTTGAGTGTTTGGAGACTGAAAGAAGATGATGAGCATTGGACCGAACATTATTGGTGCATATTATATGAAAAGGTGTTGAGACCATTGGGTAAGTGTGTAGTTTTAACCTGTTGTATGCTTTGTCTACATCCAGAGAAGCTAGAAATTGTCTTCCTTAAATTTACGGATCCTCTTGATGGTCGTATCTACTCCTGCAATTTGAGGTCGAGGATGGGAGAGCTATAGCTGTTTTCTACAGTATTTCCATTTTGTTACGAACCGGATTGGATGGCTACCGTTGTTGGGTCCAGAATAGTACTGCAACAACACTTCCCTCAACCACCGGTAATTACAGTTTGGAGGAAGCGACGAGATTGACGGATTATAGAGTGAGAGTCTAGACTAGAAAGCAGTGACGATATACAGTTCTTGTTTGACAAGATTGATGAGGCGGCGCAGCTTCTGCGATAGTTTGTACTGGTTTTGATTTCATTATCATTAACTTCGTACTAGAACGGAAGCTCGCGCTACGCAGCGGGAGGTGAATTTAGTAATTTAGAACTATAGTTTGTGAGGAGGCAGAACGACAATGCAATTATTGAGAGCCTAAATTAGAATAATGTGGGAAGCTATTACAAAAAAAAAATCAATGTAGAAAGCAAAGATTCAAACTGGGCAAAGGCTTTGATGTTTTGAAGGGTTGGAAAAGGCACAACACTAATAAAATTAATCACAACTAATAAAATTCCCACTAATGGTGATAATTTATAATCAATGGTTCGATCTAAGACACCACTCAATAAAAGATCAAATGAAAAATCATTATCATCAATGTACATCATGAACAAAGAATAAAAAAATCAATACCAATCAAGTTCCCTAAAGGGGAATTGAAACAACAATAATAAGCTCGAGAAGAAGGTAGCCTGACAATCTTACAAATACCTGTCGGGTCGGATAAAATTTGTTAACACCGGGTTCAACTCGCTTTAATCGGTTCGACATTAAGTCGAATGGAATGGACATCGATAAGCTTGTAAAACTCGTTGGCAACCCGAAATTTAACCAGGTTCGACCTAATGTTGTTGTGCCGCCCGGAAATAATACGGTAAAAATTTTGTCAACCCCGGGCTCAACTCACTTAACAATAAAAAGAAAAAAAATGACGGAAGTTTAAAACGATAGCAAAGGCAAGTAGGGAGAGTTTTTTAAAAAGTCACAATGACCCAACCCGGCAATTACAAAACATGGAAAACTCATTCTCAGTCCAAAATGCATTAAAGCTTATTTCAACTCGCGCTAACTGGGTCGCATACCCATTGATTAAAGCGCGCAAAACTCGTTGTCGAGTCAAAATTCGCCAACACCAGGTTCAACTCGCTTTAACTGGGTCAAGGAACGATGATAGACCAACATAAAACCCAAAACATTTGCAAGGCTGACACAATGAAAATTTTGTCAACACTGGGTGCAACTCACTTTAACTGGCTCGACATTAGGTCGAATGGAATTGACATCGATTTAATCGCAAACCCAACATTTGTAAAACTAGCGTAAACTTGCTTTAACCGTGTCGATTTAGGGTGAACACCTATTGATTTGGGATCAACTCGTGTTCAATTGTCATAAGTTTATTAATCAGACCCTAAAAAAACTCCTCTGTGGTTAGAAACAAATTCTCAACACCGGGTTTAACTCGCTTTAACGGGTTCGAGGAAATGATGTTAAAACATGGCATAAACCCAAAACCATAAACCAAAAACATTTGCAAGGTCCGTACAAACGAATTTTTTTGCCAGGAAAGAACAATCAAACCCGGGTCGAATACGATCGAATAGAATTCGTTAACACTGGGTTCAACTCGCTTTAACCGGCTCGACATTAGATAAAATACCAAATGATCTAAGCGGGTTCAAGTAGCCTCAATATCCATTGATTTGGGCTCAATGGTCATAAAAAAATTAATTAGAACCTTAATGCACAAAAACACCTCCAAACTTTGGCCAATTACAAATGACCACCCCTTGTGATGGGACACTATGCAATAGTAACTTTCTACTTGTTCTTTTATAGAGATGATAATAATAATAATAATAATAATAATAATAATGATAATAATAATAATAATATTATTATTATCATTATTATTATTATTATTATTATTATTATTATGTGAAGTATAAGAGAGACTATCTCATTAGACATTATGTTTTACTATTAATCTATCACTCTGCGAAAGAGGTCTAACCAATCTCACTCCAATATTATGTTCTTCAACTGGAAGAATATTGTCGTCAAACAAAAAATGGCAGATTATAATCTTTTCTAACACTTGCGTGCTTCTCTAATATGGATTTAGTCTTCCCAAAATGCCCTGCAAAAAAAAATGTCCAAGAGCATGAAATTTAAAATGTAACTATCATTCTTTTACTAAATACTTTGTTTAATACACGTATATATAAACATATGTATTATATACATTTAAAACTTGTGCTTCTGTATTAATGCTAATTTTTTATAATGTGAGAATAAATTAATAAAACGAGGGAGCAGAAAAACAATAGTAGTCACAGGTTCAAAAAAACTGAACTCGAAACAAAGCGCAAAGGCCAAAACAAACAAAAACAAATGAGAAGTACACAAATTGTTGCATATTTTCTTGTTCATTTGACGACTCCAACTAAACACATATAAAATCCGTATAACACGTTTATTATCGTATTTAATAAAAGGAATGAATAATTTAAATAGTTAATTTTACATATTTTGTAAACGTTGGCGTATTATTAGACATTACATCAGTTTATCGATTAAATAAAATATTTGTATGTATTTTATATATAACTTTGAACAATATATGATAAAACTTAAAAAAGCCAAAAAAAAAAGGAGACCTATTCCCCAAGTTGGGGTGGCAGAACGGTTTTTGATCAGCAGTTAACCGAACCGACCGGTTTTCGTCTAACCGAAAACCGTCCTCATTTTTCGGCGGCCGGTCGTCGGAGGAGAGGGGAAGAGGCTCGTCTAGCCGATTAACCGTGGTCGGAAACTGGCGGTTAACCGGCTAACCGACCACTTTCCCTTTACTCCAAAACGACCCCGCAGGCCTGCACCATCCCTGCCCAAAACGACCCCGCTCCATCCCCCCCAAAACGACCCCCAAGAACCCTAACCTGCTGGCTGCTTCTCCGTTCTCCCCAAAACGAAAAAATCATTCCCTTCTCGCTCAGTGCTGCCCGCAGTCCGTCCACCCATTCCTCCTTCTCGTCGCAAGAAACAAACCTTGTCGCTGCCAGCCCTGCGAACGATCGCTCCTCCCTCGCCGGTTCGCGAATCGCGACCTCATCGCCCCTCCACCAGCCATCCCGCCGTCTCTCGCCGGACGAACATCATCTCCCGCCGCCTCCAACATCTCCCGTCGAGTTGTCGTCCGCCATTCCCCCTTCTATTAAAAATTATTTATGTAAGTTTATTAGAATGATGATTTAGAGTTTTGATGATTGATTATGAATGATGATTTTGAAGATTGATGATGATGATTGGCGATGATGATGAACAACCACGAAAATGGGATGTTTATCTGCTTATAAGTTATAACGGTTTAGTGATGATGAATGATGATTTTGATTGATGAATGATGATTTTGATGATGCTTGTTAGTTGTTACTTGTTAGAATTTGTGAAAATTTATTTGAATTGGCTATTGGAGATTCCATTTCTAATTTGTGTATTTTTTTTTATGTAGGCGAAACCACCGGTTTCGCGTGGTGGACGTGGCGGACGAGGTGAACCTTCCGCTGAGACTGCTCCTCGTGGTGGGAGACCTCCGGCTCCTCCAGGTCGTGGTCGTGTGGGTGCCTCAGCCCCTCCTGCTCATACTCGGGGTCGTGGTGGACGTTTAGGGAGTTGGCTTGTTCAATTTGCTGAACCGTCAGCATTGGCATCAATTGCATCGAATCTCGCCCATGTCGATAGTGGAAGTACACCTGCTGCTGAGACTCCATCAATTTCATCGACCGACTGACAACCCTATCCCCAACATATCGCTTTGGACTTTTGGCCCCATCTTTGAATTCAAAACCTTGTCACAGTTGCAGCATTTCAATTTTCCCGCAATTCTCAAACCCTAAATTTCCTTTCTCCTTGCATCAGAATTCGAATTTCCATATAACTCTGACCGAGTGTTGCCTCCAGAGGCGCGACTTCTTTCAATCAAGCTGTGAACATGACCGAGAATTGCAGTTCTGGTCCACTAAGCTCACCCCTCATCCTTTCGCCGCTGGAAAACGGCTCCCGATCTGTCCAGAGGCAAACCTTCCTCCTCTTCCCCTGAATCTGTTCAGTAAACTGGGAGACGATCTCCTGGTCGAGATTCTGATTCACCTCCCAAACCCTAGATCCTCATGCCGCTGCAAAGCCGTGAGAACCCATATCTCCGATCCCAGCTTCAATTGCCGCTTTATTTCCCATCACCATACCAGGTATGAACCAGTATTTCTGTTCCTTCCCTCACCCGACCAAGACCTAATCCTCAGCTTTCTCCCCGTGCCGGATAATGCTTGACCGGGATTCAAAGTCATGGACTGTTTCAAGCACTTGCTTTTGTGCGGATTTCTTGAGATTGAAACAACCGAATTGCGCAGATCCTACTTGGTCTGCAATCTGTTTACCAAGCAATGGACAACCCTTCCATTGGCGCCTGAAATGACAGATTCAGGGTATGATGAATCTTTTGCAGCATTAGTCTGTCAATCCCGTAGTAATTGTAGTCTTGTGTAGCAGCTAGGTGAAGAATCAAAACATGTACCAATTTATTCTGAGTATGAATTCCGCATGGTGTGTGTTCATCAATTTCTGAGTCCGGGAAATGGTTGGAGATGTCGTTGGATATCACGATAAGTTCATCGTTCACTGCAGTCTCGTGGAACGGGGAATTGTTTTGCGTGTCTTTCACCGCGAGTACCCACTTGGAAACGCTGTTTGCATGCGATCCTTTCTGCCCTAATGGAGCTCTCAAACCTATGATGTTTGCTCCGGTGCAGGGATTGAGCACTCTTGCGGTCTCACAAGGCGCTCTTCACATCGTTGTATTTGAAATGAAAGGTATACATCGTAGTTCAAGGAATGCCCTAAGTGTTTGGAGACTGGAAGGATACGGTGAGCAGCGTTGGAGCCTACAATATGAAATGGCGTTGAAGACCACATCAACACCAATACCATCAGTGTCACAATGGGGTGACTATGAA